GATGGTTTCTACCGACTTGGAACTTCTGAAGGAATTTTAAAACAAGTATATGCGAGATCACAATTCACTCCATGCCCCAAGAACTTGCTTAGAATTGAAGATATTCCTGACCATGAAATTCCTCTCCGGTCAGTTGCAATTGCTCAGTCCAGTGGAAGCGGCCAAGGATTCGTCAAATGTATGTGTAAAACAAAGTGCCAAAATATGAAATGTCTTTGCGTGAAAAATGTAATGAAATGTAATTCAAAATGTCATTCAAGCCTACCATGTTGCAACAAGTAGGTTAATTGTAATTTTTTATATGAAAATTTTGTTTCCCTTAATAAGAAAGGCATAAATTTTGTTTTGTACAACTTTCATTTTTCTTTACACATTATGAATAAATTTTTTTAATGGCACTCTCATTATTTTTTCAGAATAACATTTGTATTTTTGAGGAATGCACGTCATTTATATAATAGCCTTATCAGAACCTTTTTCCATACTTCGCCTAAATAGCATTTGTCATTCTGTAGAATGCCTAGGTATTATATACAATGCCTAGGGAAAGTATGTAATAATTCTCATATTTCATAGATTGCTTAAAAACGCCAGGCATTATATACAATGCCTAGGTATTCTATAGAATGCCGGCTTTTCATACTTTGCCGGTAACATATACACAAGTTGTTAAAAATAGAGTTTACAATAATTAAAACCAATATGTATAAATTATATAAAACTAGCAGATGAGCCCGGCGTTGCTCTAGCAAAAAGTAACGATAGAGAAGATTAAGATTATAGCCAATCTTACCCATTTTCACCGGGTGCAATAATAAGGTTCCCCCTCTTGGAAGACTAATAGAGAATTTTTAGATAGGTTTAAAAATATGTTCAATTTCTCGCAAAAACGCAAAATAACCGAATCTAAAATAGTACAGTAGAATCGGAGTTCAGGGTAATTCTTAACTCTTTCCCTCTCCCCCGCGGGGGAATTTCGAACAATCCCTTCTTAGTGCACATTCTCATGACATACCCTGTGTACCAAATTTCAAATTTTAACCGTTTGGTCTCTGTCGCTTATTATCATCATCAGCCCATCTCGATTACATTATAAGATAGACCCGAAATGCATGTCGGACTTTAAATAGTTCCTTTTCAGTTAGTGTTTCAAGTAAACTCACAAGATAAGATACATAAAAGTTATATTAAAAGGCCGAAAGAAGAATGAAGACATGACAACTAAAAAACTGGCATTATCTCACAGGTGCTATACAATAACATATTTTTTTCATGTTTTCACGATCAAGCCAGCAGTAAAGAATTCAACACAATCATAATCAGTTACAGACTCTTTCAAATATCAAACAATAAAGCAATGGACACAATACATACAGTTGATGTCTCTGATGACTGAAACATTGCACAAATTAAAAAGGAGAAAAAACAATCAAATTCCAGAGAATAGCCATGTCAGTACAAAAATTTGCATAATTATACATTTTACGTCATAAATCTATTTTTATTTTTACTAATATAATCATACCAACCTTCATCTATTTTTACACCTAAATTATCATTAATTCTTTTTTTAACCTTTAAAGTTTTAATATGTTCATAATATCTACGTTTATTAGTATTTGTTTCAAATTTTATGGTATTTATCGAATCTGTTTAGTGTTTTGCTAATTGCTACAGCTGAAGTTTATATACAGGTATACCTCCACTTACGTCGTTCCCGATTATACATCGTTTGTCAAAAAAGTATATGGGAAAATAAAAATCGAGTTTAAGTCATTTTATTCGACTTTACGTCTGTCCACCACAAATATTGAAGTCGTAATATCACTAGAAAAGCGTTTAAAGCACATAAAATCATATTAAAATATAAACATTTACAAGTATGTACTGTATTTACAGTACATGGATTCGTAAATTTAATTACTTTTTTCTGTACTATATTAAATACTAAAATTTATTTGTTTGTAAGCTTAAAATAGATCCTTATTAACCATATATTATTAAAAATGCATTAATAAATAAAATACAGAACTGGGAATGGTAATTTATAGTTTAGCCTAGTGACAAGTAGATTCGGAGACAAGTAAATTCGACTTACTTCGCCTCTCCTAGAACCAATTACCGACGTAAGGCGAGGTATACCTGTATTATATTTTATTGCATTAATTAGAAGAGAAGAAAAATCATAAATGATTTATTCCAAAATTGTCTATATTTATTCATATAATCATTAAAATGGTTTGTAAATAAGATCCATAATTATTAAATATGCTTATTTGAGACTAAATTTTGTAACAATTACATAGGAAATTCTGTTTTAAAATAAATTTATTAAAATATTATATGGAAAAATGTTTACTTTTGTTGTATATTTATAAAAAAATTATTTTGTGGAAATTTAAATTTAATATATCTATTAACACATGACCTCACCACCAAATGTATTGATATAAAACTAAAACAGAATCTTCAGATTTTAAAGTTTGTTTTACGATATAATTTTTAATAGTTGGACNGCTTATTTGAGACTAAATTTTGTAACAATTACATAGGAAATTCTGTTTTAAAATAAATTTATTAAAATATTATATGGAAAAATGTTTACTTTTGTTGTATATTTATAAAAAAATTCTTTATTGAAATTTAATATATCTATTAACACATGACCTCACCACCAAATGTATTGATATAAAACTAAAACAGAATCTTCAGATTTTAAAGTTTGTTTTATGATATAATTTTTAATAGTTGGACCAATTTCAACTAATTAGAGACAAAAATATCAATAACATGTTTTGTTCCAGAACCTAGTGATAGATTTTTCAATGACTAGGAAATATATACGTTACTGTGAAAGACCGAAATTAGAGAATGTCGACACATACAAAATACGTCGGTGAAAGACCGAATATTTGGTTATATTATTATGCATTCGAACAATCGCCGGTATATGTCGACAAGCACAGATAAGCTTTGGTGGAGGTCGAAACGACACCCGAGAAGCCGATGTCGACAGACAATCTGTCGCCAAATCCTTTGTGGATAGCCCGAGGTAGGACAAGGTCGTACCTGTTTTCCTGGAAACGGTTTGGTGAAAACTACTTTGTCACTGGATGCCGTTTTTGTTCTTTTGATCCCGTGAGATGAAAATCGGTTTTGTCAGATCGAGTGGAGGAGGAAGATAGGGGTCGCCGGTAAGGCATCGGCGATATCCGAATAAAAGACACTATTAACAGATCAGTTTGTAATCACGTAATCAGTTCGTAATTTGTAAAGAAAAGTTACTTTCCATAGATGAGATTTCTTCTCAACAAATATCGCTGAAAGAAGCAGCTGCAGTTAATTCGAAAAGTGGAGGGCAAGCCTATATACGCTGCCATTGCAAAAAGAAATGTTCCACGAATAAATGCAGTTGTAAAAGAAAGGGGCTGTTGTGCAATTCAAAGTGCCATAACAATTTAAGTTGTTGCAATAAATAAGATTGTATAACATTAATCACATAATTTATGTGTAAGTTTATTATTGTACTAGCTGTTACCCGCGACTTCGTCCGCGGAGGTTTTGCAAGCAAGTCCCATTTACATTCAGTATTTCAACAACCATAGTAATTGTTATATAACACCTACTGCTGAGAATGATGAGAATTGCTGAGAAGAGAATCAAACTAACTATTTTCAATTTGATCAATTTTCTGGAACGTTTACAATCGTTCTATAATCGAACCAATATGCAATAACAAATTCGAATTTAAAACGGTTCGAACATTTTTAAAATCGAAATAGATAAAAATATTTATAACAATGTCTGAAATGTTATCAATGTAAGGGAAAGTATGGAATCAATTTCAAAAGTCGTTCTTCAGGTTAAGCCTTAATGCTCCCCTTCTCCCCCAGCTGGAGAATTTCGATAAATTCCTTCTTTGTGTGCATTCCCATGGCGTACCCTACTAAAACGCAGTCAAAAACAAAAAAAATCGCATCTAAAATAGTACAGTAGAAGCCGTTCTTCCGGTTAAGCCTTAATCCTCTCCCTCTCCCCCCTGGGGGAATTTTGAAAAATCCCTTCTTAGTGTGTGTTTCCATGACGTGTACCAAATTTCACCTCTTTAGGTTCAGCGGTTTGCTCTGGGCGATGATGAATCAGTGACTAAGTCAGTCAGTCAGTCAGTCAGGACAAGTAATTTTATATATTTAGATTTTCTTCAATGATTTAGAATGTACTGTTCGTTTTAGGTTCAACAGTTTATTTACATGCGCTGTTACTAAAGCTTTCTCCTATTTTGACATATTAAAATGGTGCATTTTTGTCTTAACGTAATAAAGATATTTTTATTCAACATTCACCATCAGTGCATGCTGAATGTCGACATTTGCCGGTGTAAGTGAGAAATAATGACATTTAGCAAATATTTCGTACATACACGAAAACACTATGTGAATGCTGACATTCACCGGAGAATATTGACATTCGCCAGATATCGGTCATTCACAGTAACATATATATATTGTTTTAGTTAATTCATTTACATTGTTAAATCTGTTAATACAGTATATATTGACTAGCTGTTACCCGCGACTTCGCCCGCGGAGGTTTTGCAAGTAAACCCCATTTATATTCAGTATTTCAACAACTATAATTGTTATATAACACCTACCGCTGAGAATGATGAGAATTGCCGAGAATCAAACGAACTATTTTCAATTTGATCAATTTTCTGGAACGTTTACAATCGTTCTATAATCGAACCGATACGCAATAACAAATTCGAATTTAAAAAGGTTCGAACATTTGGTTAAAAAATTGAAATATATAAAAATATTTATAACAATGTCTGAAATGTTATTAATTTAACACACTTAAGTACTTAATGAAGACTAAACGTAACAAAAAATCGCATGTAAAATAGTACAGTAGAAGCTGTTATTCAGGTTAAGACTTAATGCTCTCCCTCTCCCCCCGCGGAGGAATTTTCGAATAATCCCTTCTTAGTGTGTGTTTCCATGTCGTACCCTAACTGTGTACCAAATTTCATCTCTAGGTTCAGCGGTTTGCTCTGGGCAATGATGAATCAGTGAGTGAATGAGTCAGTCAGGACAAGCAATTTTATATATACTGTATAGATATTAGTTCTATAACTAGTATTGTTGATAAATCTTTTTTCTGTAATAGAGATTAAAAATGTTTCTTCCGTATTTATTTATGAAGAAAAGCATTCACAATACAAACTTTAGTACCAGTATATAAAGCATAAAACTGTATATCCATTTGAAAAAATAACTAAAAATTTCAAATACAGAAATAATGCTAAACTAGGTAAACCATGGGATAACACACCCTCTGTTTATTAGCTTGTTGAGCTCTTGAGAATGAAATGAATATATATCACCAAAGAAACTAATTATAATCATTATTCCAGGAACTGTGTTGTGTCATTTATTTTTGAAATTGTTTCTACAATAATTATTAATTCTTATCAGATGCTTGACAAGGCAAATGTTGATAAGGAATAATATTGATTATTATAGAAACAATTTGTCTAGTTATCATGCCATTGATGGCCAAGGCAGTAAAAGCATCACAGGTTTAAGTCCAGGTCAGAAATCTCAAAAATTTTTTCATGTTCTGTTTGTCCCAAATATATCAGACTCTGTTACTAACTATATTGTCACCCCACTGTGGACCTAGCCTAACCTATGATAAAAAAAAAAGGAAACTGTTTCAAATCATATTGATAAAAACAATACTTAAAATTAAATTATAAATTATTCAGGTAATTATTTTTAATTTCTTATTTTAATAAAAAATGTCATTTGTACAACAGCATTTATATACACACACCTTTTATATCATCAGGTATTTTTAAGATCTGATTAATACTATTTGAACTTCTAACTTATTTTAGATTAAAAGAATTAAAAACTTAATTGTTAGATTAGATGCATTTTATTGTAATACACATACAGTAGTGTGTGTGTGTATATATATATATATTAAAAGTTATATAAAATAATTTATTCATAAAAATGAAATTTGTATTTCAAATGGGAAATCTTTGCTGTTCATGGGTTGTCGAAAAAGCTGACTATGTTGCCAAGCGTTCTCTCCTTTACCTCCTTCTAGGATACAATAAAGGGTAAATTTGGACACACCTTGTATTTTTCTAGTTGAAATAGCACCTGAAACTAATAAATGAAGATTACAAATTAAACATTATATTACAAATACAGGAAAAATTTGATTACAAAATATACATAAAACTTATTGAGTTACCAGAAGATAATAATGAGCAACTTTAATGGTTTCAAAAGATTAATAGTTTGAACATGTTCAAACTATTAATCTTTTGAAACCATTGACATAACTTAATTCTTAAAAATCAATAGGGGTATTCACAATCCATAGCTTTTCTCATTATACTGGCTTTCTTAAAAGTCACAAAGTATAACTTTTTCCAACCTTGTTTTTTTTAGTACAGATTAGAATCTATGGAACCAACAGCTTAACAAAAAAGCTTCCTTGGAGCAACATTCAACCATTGTTAAAATCTTTCAATAGAGGAACCAGAGTCATTTTGTGATTTAAAAAATGGAAGAAAAATCCCCAAAACAGAAAATGCCAACCAATAAAGTGGTCCAACAAACATCAAATAAGGATCACAAACTGTTTTATTAGAATACATTTTCATTGTTTATAGCTTTTGTAGAATGCTAGTCTTTTAAAAGTGAGAAAAGCTTTCCATTGTGAATACATCTAACAATTTTGGTTAATTCAACAAGTAGATTATCAGGATGATTCCCAAAAGTTACAATCCATTATTTCAGTTGCTTTTAATCATCAAGCGAATAAAAGTTGCCATGTTAATATATTTTTTTAACCTTAATAAAATTTTTTTATCCCTAAATAAATTCTGATGAAATGTATTCCCAAAACATCAGAATATACTTATTTATAATTTTTGTAATTTATTAATTATTTTAACAAACTCAAAATCAGTATTATTGGGCTGCAATTTGAAAAAAATTGTAGACTTATAAATTCCCACTGTTGTCCATCTGTCCTTCCTTAATCTTGAGAACAGAGTTAGATAGATGAAAGATGAGACCAGATATGGAAAGCTTAGCAGCAGGAAACCCTTAATATACAAACTTCCAGTTTGCAAAAGATATGTAAACAGGGACTGAAGACATTTACATACCAGTGGGGTCCTGTGACCCATTTCCATACAAGACCGTGGGCATTTAATGCTCTAGTTAAGAGGGCATTTTCTCATTCGTCCAGTCCACAAGCTCTAGACACTGAATTAATGCATATAAAATGCATAGCAGCCACACATGGGTACCCTAATCTGCTTCATAGATTGATTGATCGCTACCACTACTCATGGTGCGCATCCGCTGTCCACACACATGGTGACAACCAACCAAGTGATGAACCACGTGTCTCTATCATGTTTAATCCATACATTAAACAGTTATATAAGGAGATCGCCAACAAACGCCACGTTTGGATCACATACCGGCGATGTCTGACCATCTTTGACATCCTCCGCAATGGGAAAGACTCCCACAATAGTTATAATGTTTATTGTTCATATTTTTAAGATTACTGATTGAAGAGTTCAAAGTCAAAATTATAGTAATTGTTGCAAAATGATCTATAAATGAATCCTAACAGTCTTCAAAAGAATCTGTATGCCCATATGTACTATACATGTATAGTCTCCAGAGGCACATTAGGCTTTATACTCAATGGGCTCATTTGAATCTGTGGGGATGTATAGGGAGCTTGAGATTAAGGAAAGACAGTGGTAATTTATATGTCTACAATTTTTTCAAATTGAAGCCCAATGTGAAGAAATGAAAACTTAATACAGTTCGGATAGCAAACAAAGTCTTGGAACGAACATAATCCGTTCCAAGACTTTGTTTGCTATCCAAATTGTTCGTTAACTGATTATCGATTTGCCATAGGTTTTAATGGGAATTTAATTAATTCGTTCTGGAGACCCCCAAAAATAAAAAAATATATACTTTCTTACTACGTTTATTTATATATAATAATAAAAATACATACATATTCTTGCATTTTTATTAGTCATGTTTTTTCTGTTTGAAAGGGTTAAAGAATCTGTCTAATATCAATTGCTATTCTCTCTTCTTCAGGATTTTTCGTAAGTAATTAACAGCATTGCAATTGTAGAAATCCCCAAGCCTCAACATGGTTTGGATGCCATTCTAAGACTGTTGTTCTGACATCCTCCCACTACTTCAAAGGATCTTTAATAACAGATATCGGCATTAATCCTCTTTTTCAGAAGAAAACATATCTCGCCGAGTTTCTTGGTGTTCTTCATTCAAGAGTTCTTGGCATTCTTCTGTCGTCAGATCCATTTCAGGTTCCATTATGAGCTCTTCAATGTTCTTTATTTCTCAGATGTGATTTTTGTTACTCCTTATGCTACTTGAGTCATCTCGATTATACTGTATCTTTCTTAGATAAGATTGAACTGCGTCCTACTGTAGACTGCAGTTCAATTTTATTCTGTTCATGCCAAATGGCCCAGCAACATTAGGCATCTTCTGCCCACTCTCTACCTTTGCTATTATACTTTCACCTTTCGAAAAGAAAAACAGATGCAAAACTTAGCGAGTGCCTACCCGACAGTCTCGCGAATACATAAAAGAAGTTTTGTTTTGTCACAAAAATAAAAGGCTGGAATTACAAGGGAGAGTTTTAAAGTGTGGAGGAATACTATCTGATTGGTATATACCGGCTTGAGTGTCGATGTCGACGTCTCCCACACTCCGAAAAGTTTCGAATTGTTGCATGAAGACAAGGGAAGACCAATCAGTATTCATTATTTTACATCGCTTCTTCTTGTGTTTGTTCTGTGGAGTGTTCATTGTCCGAACATAAAAATCTTTCGCGAAAGTGTTCATTATCCGATCACCCACTGTAATTACTTATATTTGATACATTATTTTCATTATTGATTCTGCTGATTGCAGTAGCAATGCTAAAATAGATTGTGTCATATTGTCTGAAATTGTGAAATATAGTAAATATTCGTGAATGAAAATGTAGTTCACTTCACGCCAGCATTTAGAAATTAAAAATATGACACTTCCATGTTGCTGCGTTATTGACAGTGATTTGTTAAATTTCAGACGTGCTTGCTAGTACTTTCAACAGTATATTTATAGTAAATATTCATTTACACTGGGTGGATTTTGACAACTAGAAAAACTTTTTGTTCAAGCTTCTTGTTTTGTACATTTTTTGTTGGCACAATACCTTATCTTATCCAACTGTTCATATAGCTTCTCTGAGACACACACTTTAGAAAAGGACAAATGAGATACATTCTTTGCTTGAATTCCACAATCATTTTTTGTTTGTATTTAAACCAGGCTGGAGGATAACCTGCCACACTCAGTACAGTAAAAATAATTTGCAGCTCTTTATTTACTAAAGCTTGGGTGCATGGAACTAATACTCATCATATGAGCAAATTTACAAAGAATGGGATTGGTAGACAGAAGAAGGAACAATGTGTGGTAACATACCAGCCTTGTGATGAACAGAGAACGTAAACCCAGAAGGCAATCTGTGTATGAATAAGTCTAAAAATGGTATCTCTGCCCCTTGTTCATGCTCTATGAAAAAATTAATTGTGGAGTAGACAGAAGATAACATGCCTATAAAGACATCCAACTCTTCTTCATGATTGTGGAAACCAAGCAAAGAATGTATGTAGTTATTTGTCCTTTTCTAAAGTATGTATTCCTGAGAAGCTATATGAATAGCTGGATAAGATAAGATATTGTGCCAACAAAAAAATGTACAAAACAAGAAGGAGCTTAAACAAAAAGTTTTACTGGTTGTCAAAATCCATCCTATGTAAGTGTAAGAGTTCTGGTGAATGTTTTATAGTACAACTTTGCAGGTGTATTATGGTGCCAGAGGATGTTCAAATATTCATTTCTTTGTAATATTCATTGTTACTACGAACTATTCTTGTAGAGAGTGGAGATTATTCCTCTGTAGTGATTCATTATTATTAACTGCTTACTTTCTGAGAACTTTTTATCATAACAATATAGTTTTTAATTTCATTATTTATATACCAGCAAAATGGACTTTACTGTGTAGTTGATGAGTTTATTCAAACAACAGCATAAGTAATTTACTTTCAACTGGTATATTATAATCAGCATCATTATCTAAGAGATTTGGTAGTAGCACAAACTGACTGAAAATTAAAATAAAAAACTTTTCTTGAATAAAGATACAGGATGGTCTATATACATGAGCATTCCTCCACTTGTACTCATTCATATTCAATTGTTTAAAGTAATATTTTTTTTGTGACTTTAACATTTTTCCAAAAACATTTTACTCCTTTGACATCTCTAACAGTAACTTCAGGAGAATGATTATATTCTTCCATTAGTTCTAATACATTTTGTTTTTCTTATAGAAACAGCATTTATTTGTACAGATTTGATATTATTTATTGAATTTGTCTAATAACTCTGGTTTGTGAAACAAAGCAATTGATAAAGTCCAATTATTAACTTTAACTGAAACATTTTTTCTCTGTGGTCATCTTAAGGCCATGATATTAGGCTAATTGTTGGACTAATCATGGAATTTGTAAATCTATGCTGATAAAATAGGAAGAATTTGAAATTGAAAAAGATATGACTTTTTTGTTTATTTATAACAGAAAGTCTCTGTGATTTCATAAAATACAGAGCTAGAAGGGAATGCAAACTGTTAAATCAAGAGTTTCAGTATGTTCTTAAGTGTTCATGCTAATTATTGATTCATGTGATCTTAATTAATTAATATACAGGGTTCCTACTAAAATTTTGTTTTAAATTCCATGACTTTCCCTGACCAACTTTGTACAAATTCCCTGACCTTCATGTTCCTTACAGTATGGCACATTAACAAAATAAAACATCACATGATTTACTACGTACATATACTACTGCTTTTCCAACTTTTTAACTTGTTATTTTTTCTAATTAACAGTTATATATTTTTTATAATCAATGAATTAGTAAAATTAAAATAAGACAGAATTATGGCATTTCTTCTCTACACAAAAGAAAAATGTTTTATTAAATAAAAATAATTTATCCTGTTATTAACTCATAATTAAATCTTCATGGCTTTGTAAAAAGAAACAAGCTTGGTCAGGCCAATATGATAGAATGCTCCACAAAAGCAAGTCAAATATTAATTTTGTTTAAAATAAATTTTATAAATTCTTGGAATCAAGTAGTTGTTGCACATGTCCATGCATATGCACAATAAATGGATTGAACGGAACATAACTCTTACATAACGAAAGTGAAGTCATTGCACATGCGCATGGACATCTGACAGACGGACAAAAGTTCTAACATAAGCACTTCACCACTATAGTGAAGTGTGCTAAAAAGCCATTAATTATTATTAAAAAATTCTGTATAATCCATGTACAAAAATATAAATTTATTAAATTTGTCCCTTAAAACTTTATAAAATATTAATAAACTGGGAAAAAGTTTCAGAAATCAGAAATTTTGTTATGCAACCAAAATTATTAAAAATAAAAAATGATAAATATCATCATCTGAATTAATATTAAGTAATTTATCATTTTTGGTTCTTTGTTAACAATCTTTTTTTTTTTTTTTTTTTTTCATCAGTTCATTAACACCTGCCCCTTAAATTGAAAGTGTAAATTGTGAGAGAGAGAGTTAGAATTTTTTTCAAAAATTTTATCAATGTTAGATTAATAAGAATATTAGATTTTTCTCTCAAACTTATAATACTGCATAATTAATACAGCAGTTTTAAACTCTAAAAGTATTTTAAAATTTAAAAATAATTGATATTGTTGTATGCTTTGTATATTTAATGTGCTATAATTTTTGGAAATTTTGTTTATGTTTGGGTGAAATTTTGGATCCTGAAAATATTCTAAACCCTTTTTCATAAGTTGCATTGTACCACAATACTTCTTGCTACCTACAGACAGCTACACTTGGTCAGCCAAACTGTCAGCAAACAAAATCAACAAGACAACCAAGAAAACAAATTCCCTGACTTTCCGTGAATTTTTCTGAACACTAATGAAAATCAGACTTTCCAGGTGCACAGAACCCTGAATATATTTGTTAATACAGTCAATCCCCCCTACAACACGGTAGATATGTTCCGGGTTTTCTGAATCCATTTTCTACGAGTTCAGCCAATTACAGCCTGGCATGTATGCAGTTTACGGACTACAGCTGTTTGAAAGGTTTCTTCCATAAAATTAATCGATTCTAGACTAATTCGACTCAACATTTCCAAAATACATATAATTTTTTGGGAATAATCCATATAAACTATGCTATAAACAAAAAATTGTAGNTGAGCCAATTACAGCCTGGCATGTATGCAGTTTACGGACTACAGCTGTTTGAAAGGTTTCTTCCATAAAATTAATCGATTCTAGACTAATTCGACTCAACATTTCCAAAATACATATAATTTTTTGGGAATAATCCATATAAACTATGCTATAAACAAAAAATTGTAGGATTACTTACCAAGTGTGCACTGTTCGACGACGCCATTGCTTAAGCTTGTTTTCGTTGTGGAGCTTGTCAATGAATGGCACTCACGTGCTTCCTGATAAATTATTTTTTTTTGCAAAAAATTTGCTGAACTTTGGAGACATCATTAATATAAATATATTTTTATGGACGTTAAATAATAAATGGTTTTTAGTAGGTCTGTGGCTCGTTTAACTCAACGGTTTGTGCAATATCTGCTATTGGTCTAGATTCGATCAATCATGTCACAACACGTGTCGGCGATGACGTTTTACCAAATTATAGGATTTTTTTAGCATGTTTGTACAAATACGGTTGCAATTTTTTCGCTGTGATATAGGAATCTGAACTATAGGAACCCGTGTTATAGAGGGGTCAACTGTAATTAACTCAATATCCTTGATGTACAACAACTACACATCTTATATGAAGCGTGCAATGCCATTTTTCTCTAAATACATTTTATTGAAGAATTGAATTCTAAATGTAATGTTTTCTGCTGCAAAAAAATATTGTGGTGATATTGGCACTGTAAGTGGCTGTATTTTGAAGTTAAATTTATGTGAATCTATGATGTTTAAAATGCCAAATTCAAGTCACGTGATTTTTGGCACTTAAAATATTACAGTTTATATCATTTTGATATTGCAGAGAATTTGTAACCTAGTGAGTTTTTACAATTTCATCGTAAAATTGAAATGAATTCATTCAATAGAAAATTTGTTTTTTGGCATTTACAACATTATGGCTTTGCATGCCTCAAATAATTAATATGTAAAAATTTATCATAATCATCTTACCTTTGTTTAATAAAATAGTTTTATCATCAGTAATAATCCTGACAGATACGGAAGCATTTTCGAAGCAAGTGTAGTCACATTGTAAAATGATAGTATCCACAAGAAACTTATCACAAAAATCAAATTTCCAAGAAACATCTGCCTTTTGTGAACCCTTAGTTCTTGCTAAATAAACCATTTTCCAATCATGTTCTTGCTTATAAAAAATATTATGTTCTTCATATACACAATTCTTCCATCCATATGTTTCTTCATTTTGATTTGAAACACGAACATACTTATCTAGGGCTGATGAATATTTTACATGAAAATATCTTTTTTCTGCTTCAGATTTTTCTAAATAAAATACAAAACTTTTGCTTGCATTATCCAGTTTTATTTCTGATCTGGCCAATCTCCAATCTAAGGAACCAGATGTTCTGCCAATAAGTTCTTCATCTTTAGCAGTACGGGTAGAAAGAAACTCAACTAATTCTCTGATTTTTCTATGTAATAATTCAGTTTTTCTTTCCTTCGAGAATCTGTTTTGGAGTTTGTTAGTAAAAAAAAAAATTTGTTGGAGTAGCCAATCTTCATTACATAAAGTTCTTCTTGATAATACTTCTTTTGGTTTAGCTGTGTATCTCCATGTAACATCTTGCACTTCATCCTTAGAAAATGCCATAATATAGTTTATTTTTTTTCCCCAACCAGATTCGTATACCAAAGGTGTATCACAAGCATTTTCACAGGGATCACAATGAATCCATCGAGCACGAGAAACAGAGTATACTTCCGTCCAGGCATGATCAGTCCAGTCAGAAATCAACCGAGAATCAAATCCCAAAGCTCTACATAAAAAAGTGAAACAATTGGCCCATTCTCCACATCTTCCACTTCTGGTAATTAATAACTGTCTTGGATGAGAGTAACGAGGAAATCTGTAAGATATATTGCAGATTTTACAAGTATGCTTTTCTATCCTGTCAGCTAACCAATGTAAGTCTTCATTAGTTGGACTAAACATTCCATTTTGTACACAGTAATTTCTGCATTGCTTACATTTGACTGTATCTACCCATGTAAAAAAGTTAAACTTAAACCAAAACAATAATTCAATTAATAGACAATCTTGGATGCTTATATCAGTTATTTCCGATTGCTTTACTATCATTGAATACTTCTCTTTAGCTTTATTCTGAAGATCTGTAACAGGAACACATTTTATTGCTTCTCGTTGAAGAGCAGGATCCTCATAGAGTAGCACTATGTGAACAGAAGAATTTAATCGAGAAAAAAATTCTGAATGTTTCATTAATTCATCACGAGAGTTTGATACCTAAAAATATAAATATTAAAAACCATATAGACATTACATATAACAAAGAAAATTTAAAAAGGCAAGATAAAAATACTAGATGATTATAATTAAGGTACCCCTATTCAATACTATCTAGAGCTGGGCTCCCAACAGGTTGGTATTAAACCCTTATGGGTTGATTAGCAAATTAGATGCATATTTTGTACATTCATATATAATATTTTGATATTGTTTAATTATTTAGTAAATACAATCAGTGAAAATAATTATTTTTACTGATTATTATTTCACTGATAAATTATTTTCAAGCAACATACATTAATAAATTTACATTGACTCTGTTAAATACTGTATATAGGGTAAACCAAAAGTAGATGGATATGGATTGAATAGGGTTTATGTTGTATTTTTTATGATAATTTATAATTTACTTATTTATTATTATTTTTGTAAACCTAAAAATTGAATATAATTGTAGGTTATCTTGAAATAGACATCATAATTTTACTGTTCACCTATTTTTGATTCTTTTGGTTCATCCTGTGTGTTCAATCAAATCTGATATGTTACATTTCAGGACATGTTAAAAAACACTTCTGTAAAAATACACTATTGTACTGATATACACTAATGTACTGTTTTTTTTTTTTTTTTACAGAAATAGTGAAAAATATCAGCAAAGAAACACCAGTACAAAATATCAGCACCACAGTGCTGATATTTTATTTGCAATTTTTATAAACTTTTACAATTAGTGCTACAGAAATGCAATCAAAACATTATAGTAACTCTAGCAGTGGAGATAAATGCAAGAAGTGTTGATCATGGAATCTAAACTGAATATTATAAAACTAAGTGTATTAAATGAAAAAAAAAAACTGCATTTGAAACACCTGCTACTAAGCAGTAGTGAGCATGTAAACAAGTATAATATAATCTATTAAGTACACTGAGGGATCAAACATAAACAATAACTGGTTATTCTGTGTACAAACTTTCTAGATTAGTTTTTGACTTATGACAAAACTTCAGAACATAACCTGTTTGTTCAGAACATAACCTGAACAGCACCAAAAGTACCATAGTGCTGGATTTTGGTACTATATTTTTTTGTGTAACTGTCTTCTGCATGTCCTGAAATGTCATCATACCAGATTTGGTTGCTTCTGGACTATTAAATCTCTCTGTAGATACAAGGTCTGTTCAAAAAGTATCGGACCTTATTTTTTTCCGCGTAAACCAATGATGCGCGAGAGGCCTCCTTTGGTGGAGTTGTGGAGAAGACAGTCATGCACATCTCTGAATTTTTTCCCGCCTGCAGGAAGCGTCAGTCGTTGGCAATCGGCCTATGAGTGAGGTCATGTAGAGCGCTCTCGTCGGATTCCACTAAGCTGAAAAATGACTGAACAACGCGAGCAGCGGTATTACATCAAATTTTGCCAAAAACCTTGGCGATACCCGAGTGTAAATCATTCGCAAGATTCAGCAGGCTTTCGGGGACGATCCTCGAGGCCAAAAAAAAGCGCGGCAGGTCTGCAGCAATATCAAAGGTCATGTTGACAGTTTTTTCGACTCTCGTGGGGTGGTGTGTCGTGAGTACGCACCACAAGGCCAAACCATCGCAAAGGAGTACTACCAGGAGGTCCTTCGTCGTCTTTCCGATACAGTGCGACGCAAACGACCGGATCTGTGGTCGATCAAAACTTGGCAGCTCCATCGTGATAACGCATCCGCCCATTCTGCGCATCTGATTCGGGCTTTCGTCGCCAAACACAATACTCCTGTGGTTCGTCACGCTCCGTACTCTCTCCACATGGCTCCGTGTGACCTTTGGCTATTTCTCAAGCTGAAAATGCCGCTAAAAGGAACCCAAATTTAGTCGAGAGAAGACATCATGCGAAATGCGACGGACCGGCTGATAACCATTCCAAAAGATGCGTTCCAGCAGTGTTTCCAGCAATGGCAGGAACGCTGGGAGAAGTGTATACATTACCAAGGAGACTACTTTGAAGGGGATTAGGGTTTTGTACCTCAAAGTCAATAAATTTATTTTTGCCGACCAAAGGTCCGATACTTTTTGAACAGACCTTGTATTTAATTATTGAATAAGATAATTTGATTACAATCACCCAGTATATCAGATTAACTCACAGCCTTGGAAGATTTTTCAACTAGATGAGATGTTACAGAAGGATTACCATCAGTAGAGAGTTGTTCAGATTCTTTTAGACATTTCTGCCGCATGGAAGTTAAATGATTGCGAAACTTACGTAAAGTATTTAAGTTAGGTTCAGGAAGAACAAAACTATCAATTCCCTAAAATAAGAAGTTAAAATTAAAAATTATTAACACAGGTTCTATAGACTATTATTTATTAATTAAAGTAAAAATAACTTTAAGACAAAAAGAAAAACTAGCATTTTCAATAGATGTTCTTTATTATTAAATACAAGTCAATAATATCAATTTAAAAGTATCTTGGAAATTTTCATATATTTATTTTTAGTGTTTAAATGATCTTAATATAAATTACATTTTAATATAATATAAAATGTTTATTTAAAAAATTCTTGTACATATTTCAATTAAAAACACAAACTTTCAAAATAATTTTTTAACTTTTGTTGTTATGATTTGAAAGAAAAATATACTTGACTCTTCACAAAACAGAAATACAGATAATACTATCCATATTATCTGTATTTCTAAGTTTTATGAAGAGTCAAAAAATTTTTTTTTTATACTTTTGTATATTTTTCTTTATCTGCATGTTATAATGCAGATAATGCATATTATCTGTATTATAACATTGCACTTTGACCTTGTCTTGTATATCTCTATTTTTATCATAACATTACGGTGATTGGACAACGTACCATTAATTAGTTAATAATGTTTGCTTTATCCCATTTTATAACCGAGCCTTCTACCTGTGACATTGCCATTAAAACTGTGTTACTATGAATGGTCTTTTTCCACATCTATAATATAATCAAGACGGGTTGATAATAATAATAATAATGATAATAATAATAATAACAAGCGCACAGCCCAAACGGTTAGGAGTTGAAAATTGAAATTTGGTACACAGTTAGAGTACATCACAAAAATGCACACTAAGAAGGAATTTTTCGAAATTCCCCCCCCCCCGGGGAGAGAGACAGGATTAAGGCTTCTATATACATTATGGATACGAGCCCAAATGGTTAGGAGTTGAAAGTTGAAATTTGGTACATAGTTAGGGTACGTCACGAGAACGCACACTAAGAATCGGATTTTTCGAAATTTCCCCTGGGAGAGAAAGACAGGATTAAGGCTTAACACTTCCATCAACAATGGAAGTGTTAAGTAACAATGGAATTGTTAAGAGAAGCGACATGCAAGATTTACAGGCACAGATGCAGTTTTTTCGTTTTTGTGGGAAATCAAACATATTTTTAGAACCATCTAAAAATTCTCTAATTAGTCTGGAAACAAGGGGATCCAATTCTTGCATTCTGTGAAAACAGGTAAGGTTGACTGTAAGGTGATAATCTTTATCTTAGTTATCGTTACTTTTGCCCAAGCAACGCCGGGCCCACCTGCTAGTTGTACAATACTTGTGTTCCTTGAGTCGCATCATGAAGTTTATTTTTGATCATCAACTCTTGATCTTCATAGGGTATTTTGAATACTCCAGATTTTTCTTCTTTCCTTAGTTTGTTTTTATCATTTCTCAGTAAGTTGTAAATATTAGAAGCTTTTCTGCAGACTATCTTTGAGTTTTTGTAAGTTGCCAGCTCATTTATAGTGCCTCTCAAATATTTGTTGTATGTAAATTTATTGATTCTATTGAGGATTTTGGAGATTTGTCTTTGTTTTCTTCATAACTCCTGATGAACTCTTCTATAGTGACTGCTTTATATCCACTATAGTTAGAGATAAAAAAAGATTATGTTGGAGTTACAAAAAGAAACCTCATGGTGCGACTCAAGGAACACAAATACAATGTGGAAAAAGGCTATAGTAATATAATTTTAGCGGCAATGTCACAGGCTTGGTTTTAAACATTATTAAAACGGTACGTTGTCTAACCATCGAAATGTTATGATAAGAATATAGATATACAAGAGCAAGATCAAAGCGCTAAATGCTAGGTATGCAAATGCATTACTTTCAGATTGGAAATGTATCATAGAAAAAAGATTAAAACATAAAAACCTGAGTTATGTGTTCCCTACAATCATATTTGGCTTTAATGTGTTATACTTAGTTTTTATTTTGTATTTTTCTTAAGTTTACTTTTATTTGTTGTTAACCTTATATTTTCATTTATGTAACTTTAAATTTGTATTTAAAATACTTCAAAAGTTAAAATTTAAATGAAATGTTCTATTTGTGGAACATTTTCTGAAAACTTAGTGAATTTAAACTTAGTGATGGCCTATGGCAGTAAGCTGAAAACGTTTGTTATTTAAAAATTCTCTCAGCAGACGCTCAGGTGCTGTAGTAAGATTGTAACTACTGTAAGAGGTCTGTTCAAACAGTACGCAAACTGTTTGAATTGCGCGGCTCCAGTTGGTTCCAGGGGAATCTGCTTGGTGTTGCTAGGTTTGTACAGATCCTCTGGTGATAAAGCCATTTATTAAATAATTTAATGTTAATGAGTGAGGATATTAATAAATCAAATGAATGAATATGAAATACATTTCTACTAGCAAAAGTTCTGTTCTGTTCAAATATTGAGAAAATCATGTCACTTTTTCAATGTTTAATAGTATATCCAATGCTAAGAAAAAATTGTGAATATAATGTTTCTTTAATGACTGAATGTAACAATTGCATAAAATTATATTGCCCATCTGCACACTGCACACCAGTCCATATCAAATATGGCTTTTATATAAATGATATAAATCTAGAATATTAATCCTCCTTATATTTTAATAAACAAATTTTAGAATAAATTTAGCTAAATATCTGTTTATAATATGTGTATACAGGTAGCCCTCGGTTTACACCAGCTCAATTTACGCCAATTCACAATAACACTGCTGCGCAATTTGCCATTTCACGGTGTAATTCTCCAATTTTCCCTATGCTAGACTGATTTTCATTTCAATGTTGACATATTTACTGAGCGGTGACATTGTACATTCGTTAAAACAGAGACTTTTATTGAATATACAATAAACCATCGATTATCCAACTCAATTGGGGACTGGGGTTGGTCAGATAACTGAAAAAATGGATAACCGAAAAATATGAAAAAATACATTATTAGTATAGTATATCCCATGTAATCAGTATATTAGTGTATCGCTATTAACCTACTTCGCGTTGAATTTTCATCGATGTTAAGCCTAACAAATATTTTTTAAAATAATAATCGTCGCTATTGTATTGTTAAAAATTAGAAAATTAAACCTTGTTTAAATACTGGCTCCCTTTCATGGTTGAGCCAGTGTTGCCAGCTAAAACACGTAAAAATAATATTAAAGTAGCCAAGACATAGCCAAATATTGTTGCGCCACATCACTAGTGGACATTTGAATTTGCCGACTAGAACGCGGTCGGTTAACCAATATGACGGTTGATCGGGGGTCGGATAATCGATGATCTACTGTATTTATTTTTTCCGTTTAATATTATTGGGTATGAATACATTTGTATTAAATTAATATTAAAATACTAAACATTTAGGTACCCACGAGTCAAATTATCAAACTTAATAGTCCAATAAATGGCATCCGAATCCATAGCACCAACGAATGTATCCCGTATCAGATCGTTCAGAAAAACACCTTACGATGCAGTAGCACTTCTGGCAATCACAAACTATCATTAGTGAGACAAATCTACTTCTCATTGGCCAGACTATACTTTTTTATTAGCCAAATGATATCTACTTCTTGTCAGTCAGATGACATCTATCTCTCCTTAGCCACCTTGAATATTCCTGCTCAAGCTTATCTTATATATGCACTATGGCGACCAGTGGTAGACCAATCAGTGTCTTCACTCATCCGTAGCTCTATGTTGGGTTAACATATCCTTTCACCTATGGAAAGTTTGATGGATGAACTTTGTGAGTTAAACAATGATTGGGAGCAAAGTGCAAATGTAAAAAGAAGCATCATCGCATCCATTCGACCATATTCCGAAATTCTCAATGAAAGAAAACAAAAATGTAAACAATTCAAGATGGATACTTTTTTCTGAAAAATGTAAGAGATCTGAAACTATAATTTTTTAATAAAAACAATTCACTTTATTTTATGATAAAATACATTTAAAAAATTAAGTTTACATGTATTTTATATTATATTATATATAATACAAAAAATATAGTATTATATAAACAAAATTATTTGCTTATTTTTCACTTATGTAGAAACTAACCCTATACCTCATTGTAAATATGGGTTCATTTTACGCCAATTCGATTTGTGCCGGCTTTTGTAGGAACAGAACTGTGGCGTAAACCGAAGGCTACCTGTATTTATAAAATTTACAAACAACTGAAAATTTTGCATTCCCCCCATATTTTCAACCTAAATTCTATATATTTTCTATGTTTATCTCAAATAACTTTCTCCCAAAACCTCTATATCTGAAACTATGAACCGAAGTGTCCATTACAAATTCAAATGCATCTGTTTGTATTCAAAACAGGTGTATTTTTAAAATTATTTTCTTATCACTGGTGTATGGTAAGTAACACTCATTTTTAAGAAAGATACAGGTAGCCATTTCAAGTGTAACTTGTTTTAAAATAGTTTTCTAATAATGTTTGTGTGCAATGGAAATATATATATATGTATATATAAATTAACAAAGACTAAACTTACTTCTCTGTATCCTAGACTGAAAAGGCATTGCACGGCACCGTTAAATGGTAAAAACTCATCTTGAAATAGATTACTTTCGACCTTGATGGATCGGTACGGTGAAGTTTGTGGATTTTTCATCAGATCCTCACAACAAAACAGCAGTAATTTTGATACTTTTAGAAACTCGCTAGGTGAATTATCATTAAGTAATAAGGCAATAGATTCTTCCTGCTCCGACATATCTGCGATTTTTATCAATTAACTGCAAGATAAGTTACGAGTTCAGTTTTTCTTCTCTGGATCGAGCAAGATATTTGTAATAGTTTCTAGAAAAATTATGTACATTAAATAATTTTGTATGTAACTAAATAAAACTGTCACATCTTACCTCTTAACACATAGCCGTAGTCACACCTCGCACTGATAAGCAGTGTTGCCAGATTGTAGTAGCATTTACAACTCGGTGACTATGGTGCCATCCCGTAGCAGCATTTAAAACTAGAGTAATACCAAATTTATAATTATACGTTAGATCAGTCATGGCCAACATACGGCCCGTGGGCCAGATCCGGCCCGTCTGATGAATTTATGTGGCCCGCTATCAATCTTTCAAAATAGCTCGATGAAAAGTTCTGACGCGTAAAAAAAAAAATAAAATAAATGGTCAACAATCCACCGTGAGTTTAAAGTTAACCCTCCATTACAAATCTCTTAAGTACAGCTTAGAGTGTTGATAAAACATGATAATGTGAGAAATGTATCTATAATATCTATGTACAATTCAGTCTCTACGGGGCAGTGGCGTACCGTAGTGGGGGCGGCAGGGGTGGCCCGCCCGGGCGGCACTTTTTAGGGGTCGGCAAAATTTCACAATAAATAATAATAATATCTTGTAAAAATTTGAAACATCCTAGTCTATACTTGCATCGCGCGTACGATAGTGCTATCGTCCGGACAGTCCGGGAATCGGCTCGCCGGGTAAACTACAGTAGAACCTCGATTATCCGCCCCCGATCAACCGACCCCTCGGTTAACCGACCGTCCTAGTCGGCAAATTTCAAATGTCCGCTAGTGATGTGGCGCTACAATAGCGACGATTATTATTTTAAAAAATTTTTGTTAGGCTTAACATCGATGAAAATTCAACGCAAAATAGGTTAATAGCGATATACTAATATACTAATTACATGGGATATAATAATATACCACACTAATAATGGATTTTTTCATACTTTTCGGTTATCCGACTTTTCAATTATCCGACCAACCCCAGTCCCCAATTAGGGCGGATAATCGAGGTTCTACTGTAGTAGCATTTTCATCCGAGGAATTCCTGCGAAACCTGTTGACCTTTTTTTTTTGCTTGTACGATTCATTCGCGTTCATATAGACCACTAATATCCAATAGAACTATTTTAAACAGGTCGCTGCACTACCACCGAATTTTTCATTGCTTTTCTGTGACAAAACTGAATTTTGATCTTTTAAATTAAAATACTGTACTTAAATAAGGGGGGCAGAAATTTTCCTCCGCCCCGGGCGGCTGACACCCACGGTATGCCACTGCCATGGGCGTAGCCAGAGTTTTGTTATGGGGGGGCCTAGTGGAGGCCAACCTGACACAAAATTGAATTATTTCAAATTATTGTTCATTATTGGGCACCGAGCAAGCCGTTCACCTTTTTTTAGTATTCAAAACTTTTATTTTAGCTTTAGGTTTTTACAAATCGACTCAACACTTTTTCGGCTGTGATTTCCTGGGGAGGGCACCAGGTTCCCTGGGAGGGGCCGTGCCCACCCTGGCTCCCCCCTCGCTAGGCCCATGGCCACTGCTACGGGGTGACACCACAATGAGATCTCGCACTACCTCAAAATCTTCCTAGGGCAACCTCTGGTTCGGCCCATAAAAAACTTTTCTTTCCAATTCGGCCCGGGGGCAAAAACTGTTGGTCACCCCTGCGTTAGATCAAAGCCATATAAGGGGCTGTCCCCTTTTTCCACGTGCATTAAAACTCAACCTTCCTTAAAATCTTTATCAATTTATGAATAATGTATAAACTGTATAAAATTTAATGAAATGAAACGGTATTCACTAACAGTGGCGCACCCAGAGTGGGGCCAATGGGTCCTGGCACTCTCTAAAGAAAAAGCAAAAACAAGAAAACAAACACTAGAAAATTTTCCAAAAATATTTTCCTAATTAAAAATCTTTCTTTTTGTATATTTATATTGTGTGGTGTCTTGTATTTTTATACTACTTATGAATTAACGGTCACGTAAGGTGGAAATTTTATCGAATTTGCATTAAAATTTTCTAGCCATTTAAATCGCCTTCCCCAATATTAAATTCTGAGTGCGCCATTGTTCATTGAAGTTTGATCCTTCACTTCTCCTTGTCCGATTTTGTCCGGCTTGTCTTACTCCCTCCTTTCCAGCGTGGACGTCATTTATGGATAGTTCCTAATTAGGATCGAATTTAAAACATTTGTATTTATATACTGTCGTCGTCCTAAGGGCATTGGGGAGAAAACCTTAGAAACTATTAACTGATTTAAAATATCTCATATTGCCAGATTTATTTTTTAAACAAAGTTTTCCACCACTGTTTCTTAAAGTTACATTTAAGCTTTTTCACATTAGTAAGACATGGAAAGAAAAATATTTTATACAGTTACATAATAACTTTTTTTCCGTTTTTCTAAGCACTAAGACATTTAAAATAGACATTTTAAAAATAACAATTCCAGTGTTTTCTCATTTCGTGCTTACCTTACAAGAAATTTAATTATTATGTAAGGATTAAGGCCAACGAAACACGAAATAATCATACGTAGGCTATTTTACATTTTGATATATACAGTACATGGAGTGCACTATTAAAGTTTTACATATCAATTTTAATAGTGTACTCCATGTACACGAGGAAAAAGTATTCGTATCAACTATGAATACGTAAGCGGAAAAATAAGGTGTAAATAAAAAAAACATAACTGTACACAAACTATTATATTAAAATTATTTCACAAATGAAAGTTTGACGTTTATTAGCAAATTATTAAATTATATTACTTAATTTGGCTAAATACATTGTCAATTGAGTATAATCTTCATTTAATTCAGCTGGCTCTGCTAACTTTACTGGTTTGAATTACAGTGTAGTGATCATTCAAAAGAAGAGGTTCCACTAGAGTGAGTCTAGTGCAGACATGGCCAACGTACGGCCCGCGGGCCGGATCCGGCCCGTCTAATGAATTTATGCGGTCTGCGATTAATCTTTCAATATTAGCCACTCAAGTCCAAATAGCTCGATGAAAAATTATAACGCCTAAAAAAAGAAAAAAGGTCAACAACTCACTGTGCGTTTAGAGTAAATCCTCCATTACAAATCTCTTAAGTACAGCGTAGAATATTGATAATGCATGATAATGTAAAAAATGTATCTGTAATCTCTATGTGCAATTTAGTCTCTACGGGGTGACACCACAATGAGATCTCGCACCACCTCAAAATCTTCCTAGGACAGCCTCTGGTTCGGCCCGTGAAAAAAGTTTTCTTTCCAATTCGGCCCGGGGGCAAAAACTGTTTGTCACCCCTGGTCTAGTGGTTTCCAAAGTATGCGCCACCGCCCCCTGTGGTTGGTGAGTAAATCTAGTAGGGCGAAAAGAAGCAAATGGGTGGCAGGGGTGACCATAGGCAAAAGTTGAAATCACTGACAACCTTTCCCTTTTTCTTTTAATGTTTCCAAATGTGGAGAACAATATACGGTAAGGATATAAAGAGTGAATTTCATAGAAAAGTTTTATTAAGAATATTTCCAAGCCTTTCTCAACAAGGGAAAATGGGTTAGGGGTCGTTGAATTATGGTTACAGGCGTTGAGTATAACTTTATGAAACCAATGGGGAGATGGTTCGAAAAAGTTTGCTAATCACTAAAAAATAGTTGTTATAAGAATAGCTGCTTCAAAAGCTACTTTGATGAGGAACAAGCTCACTACTATGAAAATACATGATTGACAATAATTCGTTTGAAAGTTGATAGGAGTAGGGATTTTTCTATTTTTTCTTACGAGTCAATCCAATTCTCCCTATTAAGTGCACAGTTTTGCAAACGACATTAGGGCATTCGATTTGTCAGAATACTACACATTTTTCTATTATTATTTTTATAACAGAAAAGTGTAAAATTATATCAAAATGACGTAAAGGGCGCACTATTCTGACAAAATGAATGCACCGATTATTATAACCAAATAATTTGAGTTCCAATTCCGGACTCAAATTTCTATGTAGATCTCACTGCTACCTTTAATTTTGTTTCAGAATTTCATTTTAGCGCCACACTGGATTTAGTGCTAATTTCAGATAGGTACAAATGGTGACATTAAATCATTCTTGTCTGTGTAGAACTATACCAAAACTTTTTCGTCGTCACCATCTGAGAGAACTGATTAAGAACCTGGATTGCCGTCGTGATAGAGTGAGCGGCAATCTAGCCCACCATTACATTAAATTATAGGTCTACTGGATTAGCTGGGTAGTTTAATATCTGGTGACATTTATCTATACAGAATTGCTGAAAAATTATTATTTTGACAAATTTATGTGCACTTTAAAAGTCTGATGATGACAGGATGCAAGAAATTTTTTCCATTTCCTCTTGTCACCACATCATTCTTTTCTCACCTCTCTTCTTTGCCTATTATTCTTTTTACAGTATATTGATAAGAATCGTTTCATTTCTTAGATGTTCTGAGAAAAGGGAGATAATTTGGTTTGTGCAAATATCCTTACAGAACAACATAGAATTGCGATATATACATATGGTATATGTTAGACGATAGTGTTTTTCTTCAAAACAAAAGCAAGAAAAAGTTTATTAGCCTGCAATGTTTACAATTGATACAGATGGTGCTAATCTTCGGAAATTGTTTTCTCAAACAATTGTAATCAAAAGATCTGAAAAATAAGAATAATATTTTGCAATCAATTTTCATTTGGCATTTGTCAAACGAAAATTGCAAAATATTATTCCTATTTTTAAACTAAACTAACGTATTTACTCAGTAAAATAAACATAACATTGCAATTTGCTTACGAAATATAATTTGAATTTCCTTGTATCAACAGTGTTTTGCATTTTGACGGCCGCGGCCGTCAAAATTCCTCATGAATTTTGACGGTTGTCAAAATTCATGAGGTTTTTTCGTCAAAATTCATGAGGTCGTCAAAATTCATGACGGTCGTCAAAATTCATGAGGTCCCCATGAATTTTGACGGTCGCCAAAATTCATGGCCGCGGCCGTCAGTATTCCTCATGAAAAACATAAAAATTACCTGGAACCGAATATTCGGTTCCAGGTAATTTTTATGTTTTTCATGAGGAATACTTTGATTTCGTACACGTGACATAAATCTGTTAAGTATTCTACCGCAATCAAGGCAACATTACTTTAAAGTGTGATGTCAGAATATCAACACAACTTTCTATTTCCTACAATAGGAATTCTCAGTACACACTTGTTTTAAATTGTCAGTGAACTAATTGAGAATATAATAGGTTAGTGTATTTAAGTGTTAATTTTTATCCATCAAGTTTTTCATTGTTCTATGCTCTGGGCCCGAAGCCTGCCTCATGCAATTACAAACCTCTCAGCAAGACACGCTTGGAATGTGTGACAAGGGTGTGATGATGTTACACCTGTATTCCAGTGAAGGAACAATTTTCAATGGCTTGATTATCAGATATATAGCTATTAACATAAGTATTTTATTGATTATAGTTTAAATAGAAATTGGATTAAATTGAGCGCAAGTAATTTATCTTCTAAATAAATCAACACTAATTGATAAAATAAATAATCAAAAATGAGGACAAATTCCTCTAATTATCGATAAAATTTTTCGTTATTTAAATTAATTTAATTGAAACCCATGTAATTTAATTTTCCTGCTGACAAAGTTGAAAAATAGCTTGAACTAAATTTAAAAATAGTTTGACATTTATGACAAATTTATACTTAATTCTGTGGTTTTTGTCTGCTAAAGTAGTCATGCGTATTCTTTATCACTGGTGCATTACCCGAGAATAATTTAGATTTTGTCACATCAACGATGGAAAAATTGACATGATTAATCAAAATAAGTTTATAATCGTAATTTTAAGCAGCTTTAACTTAATAGCATTTAAATAATTTTGTTTTTTTCTAATATTTACGTTTAATAAGCGTGAATCTTTGAGTTAGTTGAATTAATTCCTACATTAACAATCGAATTAAAAGATTCATATAGGATTGGTGTCAGGACTGATATTTTTATACACAGAAATACTGAATTATAATGTGAACACCGCTATGAAAATATCAATCTTGTCATTCGCAAGTTATGAAGTCAATGTACTGTGCAATTATTATAGTGGATGAAACCACTGAATATTGGTAGTTGGTGGTTCGAGCCTCGTCACTACGGGCTGTCAGATGGAGTTTTCCGGGTTTTCTTTACGTTTGTAATATTTAAACAAAGTGCCACTTTTCCCATAGGAAGCCTTCCCGGCTTCTCGTCGGATCGCCCATGTGTCGCGTTGCCGTAAACAAATTAACCAAACTATTCTTTCCATCCTGTGGACACTAAATGGGCTTTTCTATATCCGTCACAGATTTGGCTAGCTTACAACGGGGATGGCTGAGTAGTGGGTATAGGACCTGACACAACAGGATAGACCGTCTATAAAAAATCTCGAGTTTTTCCGATTATCGAGACTCGAACCCAGATCCTCTTAGAACAGTAGACTTTCACATTAACTGTTTCACTCAGCTGGAGTCCAAATATACACAACATAAAATATAGACCTAACAACAAATAAATAAATTGCAGAATTCTGTTATAAATGACATTTTAATTAATTAGTTGAGGTATATCTATTCAATATCTAATAATATACATTTTATGAAAGAAATAATGAATAAAATTGAATGATTATGACAAATTCTACACTAACAAGATATCAGGATGATAACAACGTAAAATCTAATAAATAAGTAAAAATTATTAAGACATAAAACTATTAAATATTGGTTCACCCCTCACTAATAGGCTAGACACGTTGAATTTTCCCCGTGGTTTTCATTACGTGTCTAACACCTAAATAGAGGCCAGGTTCCCATAACAGTCCTCCCACGAGGCACCTCCTCTTGGCAGATCGCCCAAGTGTTCGTTGCTTTATTCCATCAATCTCCTTCTTAATTTAATGATAATATATAACAACAGTGGCGGCCTTAGGGGGTGGCGAGCAGGGCAATGGCCCGGGGCCTCGCTCTTGGAGGGGCCTCGCGCAACAACCAAGTAGAAAAAAGTTGATATTTAAAACTTTTATTTTATCCTTGGCTATTAGTTATAACAATAAAATAAATTTAATTTATAATACAGTATATATTAATATTAATAAGTGCCTACTATTTCAATTCACATACTTTGCACAAAGGACAAGGGCCTCGCAAAGATCTGCCGCCCAGAGCCTCGCAATGGATAAGGCCGCCGCTGTATAACAATTACAATTCACTAAACACCTTAAAAACATTTTTACCTTATTATTATAATATATAGTATACATAAATTAATATATTCAACTAGAATGATGAGATATTATAGAAAAACTAGAGTAATCATACGAATAAATAATATATTAGAAGACATATTATTATTAGTCATTCAAGATAAATCATGTCAAGCGTTGATTTACTTATAAGGAAATATTTCAAAAAGTTTATTTATATTTTAAAATTAAACCAGACTTTTTACATCAGACTGAACTTTTTCTAAGTCAAAGAAGTTAGTGCACTGCTTCGTTTCTAAAATGGATCTCTGGGAGAGGTATGTTTTTTCATATATACAATTTATACAACTTGACTTGTATTGTGCTATAAGATTCTAAGTAATGTTTTAGTGATAAATATGCAAAATTATCTTACGATCTATACGATGGTTTGGACGAGGACATGATGGTTGCTACACTCCCTCCTGTTGTTATCTTTCATGGTCTGTTCGACCATAAAGGAAACTGGGCAGACATTGCAAAATCTATTGCTGATAAATCGGTTAGAAAGGTAACATTTTTACATTTTATCGCTTTCTTTTTAATATCGAAATATATAGGATAAAACAGGTATGATTTAGGTATACGTACTTGATATGAGAAATCATGGTGACAGTCCCAAAATGGCAAGTATGACTCACGATGCAAATGTTAATGACTTGGGTATGTTTCTGAAGAAGATTAACGAGCCAGTAATACTCATTGGCCATAGTTTAGGAGGAACAACAGCAATGGAGATAGCCTTTAAGAAGGTAAGAATTATGATTAGTATTAGCGTTAACTTTTTAGGCTAAATATATTAAGTGGACTGAAGTTAGACTACATTGGCTGTAAACATTTGGAAGAAAAACAAATATAAATCAATCAGATCATGTGTTAATATACATTCATTTAAATTAAAGGGCTGCTCATAAATGTCCTCCATGTTGGAAGGGAGGAAAACTTAAATTAAATAATCTTTCTTAAATTTTTTGTGCCGAAAGGTACGTTTTATACACCGTAAAAAACTACATTATACACTTGTATAACTTATTACAGTCACGAGTTTAGTTTTTAAACGTAAAAACATTCTACTTGAATTATTGATTATTGAATGAGTGTAAGATATTATAGGTGTCTACCAGTGGTTGAGTGGATAAAATCACTGAATACTGGTAGCGGGTTTGTTTCTGACCAATGGGCTAGTTTCCCTTGGCAGATCTCCCATGTGTTACCATGACCAAAGTGTTGCGTTGCCATATTCTCATGTGTTGTGTTACCTTATTCTATCGAATATGGCAACACAACACTTTGGTCATAAAATTTTTAAATATTGATCATGTTTGATCATTAATGTAATATTCAGCACGTATAAATTAAAACATATTTTTTAAAAATTATGTACAGTACATATGTATAAAATTAAATCACATAATTCATTCAAGCAACTAACTTTCATGAGTTTTTATAGGTATGCCGTTATATATATTTAACGCTTTCTAGCATAATTTATTCGTAGTTTTAATAAATGAGTTATTTAACAAGAATTAAGATTAAAAATTATTTGAACGCGTATAATATTCTAACTTAGTGTATATCAATTTTCAAAACTAAATTGTTATTCTCTCTAACAGAAATCTAAATATGCTTATCAAATATTGGGTTGTTCCGAAAGTAAGTTCGTTTTTTTCCGTGGAAAAAAACGCAATATTCTTATAATAAATAAATATTTTATTGAATTATATGTTGACCATTTTGGTCAAATACCTGTTGTCAACGTTTCTGGTAGTAGTACGATTTCACATTCATAAAAGTTTTGATCGTTGCTTCAAAAAACCGATCCAAGTGATTTTTGACATTGTCATTTCAAGTAAATGTCTTACAGTTAAAAAAAATTGTATAGACCAGAGCAAATAATAATCCGAGTGTGTTCGATCTGGAATATGGTTGGTGTGATAGCAGGTCTAATCTAAGTTATAACAGTTTTTGACCAGTTACCAAACTTGTGTGAAATTTGACATTATTGTGGTAAAACACTATACCTGTTTTTTTTTTTTTTTATCAATTCTGGCGGGCTTTTTCTGTTTGATGATATTACGTAATTTGTTTACTCGAATGCATTACACTTTCGAATCAATTGTTAAATTGTCTGGTAAAAGCTCCAAAAAAATTTCCTTAATATCCCACTGAATAGAGCATTTCTCTTTAAGAACTCGTGGAATTCATGTATCCAGCTTTGAAACGAAACTAATTTGTTTCAAGTACTCATAAACAGTTCAATTTGACAAATTTAACCTCTTAGTGATTTCACGTGTTGTTATTCGGCAGTTTGCTTCAATCGGTACTTTTATTTTGCTTTCATTGGCTTTACTTGGCCATCCATAACGTGGTGCATCTTCAATACTNTCGGTACTTTTATTTTGTTTTCATTGGCTTCAATTGGCCATCCATAACGTGGTGCATCTTCAATACTGAAATTGCGAGAACGAAATTTTGTAAACCAGTTTTGGCACTGTCGTTCTGTCAACACATCTCCACCATACATGTCACACGATTTTTTTCTCTCTTGAACAGCATTTTTATTTTTTTGGTAAAAAAACGCAAAATATGCCGAAGATGCTGCTTTTGATCTTCCATATTTGATGGGACACACAAAATAAACAATTGCACGAAATCAAACAAAATTTTTTACAAATAATCCATAAAATGCTAGCTGTCAAAATATACAGTGATAATACCGTTTAGAACGAAAATGGGGGGAAAATATGACTAATCTGTCTAGTGGGAAAAAACGAACTTACTTTCCGAACAACCTAATATATCTTTTGGCAAGATTAAATCTCTCTTTCATGAATAAATAAGTAAATTTAATTTAAATTTACTTATAAATTTAATGCTTCTTTAAATCTGAACAACACACTGTTCCCCTTTTTTGAGCCTGGCCCATGCTGGGTATGATTATAAAGGTCCTATTACTTGTTAGTGCCCACAAGAGCATGAAACTGTGAAAAGACTATTCAAATTTATATTAAATTAAGAGTAAAATTCGTTTTTTGAAGAATTTCAATTGATTAATAACCAAAATTAATTAAAATAGTTGAGGAGATTATGAAATGAAATTTCGTCTATTCTTTGTTTTAGCCTCACTTGGTTAAACAGTTAATTTTGATTGATGTTTCACCATTGAGATATCCTGCTAATGAAGAGACTGAAGTCAGTTACCTCATAGACCAAATAAGAACTGTACTAAACATCATTAATTCCACAGAAGAATTTTGCAAATTAAATTCCGTTTTGGAAAAGTATTTCCAGAAATATATCAAAGTAAGTCAGTTGGAATTTAAGATTTCATATGCATATTAAAAATTCAATTTCAATTCATTAACCAGCAGAACTAAGTATTGAGGTGCCCACCAGTAATCAAGTGGATTAAACCACTGAACACTGGTGGACTTGCGCCTCACCAACAGCTGGCCATGTGGAGTTTTCCAGGTTTTCTTCACGTTTGAAGCACCTAAATAGGGGCCAATTTCCTGTAGGAAGTCCTCGCAAGAGGTATCTCCCCTCTGCAGATTGTCCTCGTGTGGCGTTGCCTTAAACAAACAAACCAAGTATTGAATATGATATTGTTATGTAGTACTTAAGTGTATGAAACGCATAACCCATTTTTGTCCAGTATAGAAGTTTTAACCCATTGTTTTGACCAATGTGAGAGAAAACTGGGAAATGGCTCCTAAATCCGAACAGTTAATGATAAATTACGAGATCGGGAATAAATTGGATTCATATTAGCAAAATTATACCCAAAGGGAACTAACTCAAAAATTAAAAATATTCGAATAATTAGTAAATAATTTTTATTAATTAATATGTATTGCAAATGGTTCAATAAATCATATTTTCCATAAGTGTTTTTGAAAACCGCGTTTTAATATCCGAACAAATAAATTTTAATTTTTTTATGTCAATAGGAAGATACCCTTTTGTCTATCGTTTGTTTCATATTTTTGTCCAGGTAGTGTTTTGTTGACTCAAAAATTTTTATTTTGTGATTTTTTTCTTAATTTATATATTTTTTGATAATTTTTTATTTCATTTTTAGCATATTTATACAATAATATTACTATAATAAGTTTATTCAGTTATAATAGGTCAACGTGTTATAACTATTCAAATTGTAACTTTCTGTTCTGACATTTTATATATTTTTTATTTTTTTAAATTTAATCTAAAATATCAGCACACATTAAATGTATTACTACTGGTAATTATATATTTATTACAAAAATTTATATTTTTGTTCCATATGAAGTGAATAAAGCATATTAGTTCATTATATTAGTTGATAGCAGAATAAAGTTTTGAATACAAACAAATGTTTGATATAATGTGCAATAAGTTCCCAACTAATTAATGTACAGTACTGTACATGCATAAGTGTTATATAGAGTTGTACAAAACAATATTCTATGTCTTTCTGGCTTAGAGCCAAATAAAATTAGATAAGGAGACAATGTTAATTTTGACAAAAAGTAACAAATGATCAAGTTTAAATATTAGTTCAGATATAAATTTTCAGATATATATATTTTTTTCTTATAATTTTCTCTAATAAAATGTTTTGAAAAATATCGTATTTGAAAATATATTAATTATATTAATAAATATTAATATATTTATTAATATCAACAGATCAGGTTACATTTATATTAATAAATGACAGATACAGTATTACAGATATTAATAAATGTAACGTGATTTTTTCATATGAATATAATGATAATTTGATTTTTGGTGAATTTTTAAAATAATATTGCCTGACTGACTTTCTCTGACCTATATTGCCCTCGGTTGTTTTACAAAATAAACGTAAACAAGGAGGCATGGTAAATGGTCAACAAAGGGTAGTCTTAAGCTTCTGTAGTTAACAATTGGATGTGATGTCATTGTGAAATCATGAAAAAAATAGCCCATTTTTTTCATCATAGGAGAATCCATCGATTTGAGAGAGAAATTAAAAATGACTCATGGATCCAAACAACTACTGATAAATTTCAAGATCTGGAATCAAAATTCGACCTTCGACTCCATTTTTTACCTTGCAACGTATCTTACTATGCAACTATCTAACATAAATTTTTCTTTATTTTCAGAACGTTACTCTGTGCAAAATGATCTTATCCAATGTAAAGAAAGAAAATGACAAATTTATATTGAAAATCAATTTGGATTCAATAGAAATGGATCTATGCCAAAAGCAGAAAATGAAAGAAGTCTATCCATTGCGAGGTTCTTATCAAGGCAAAACGCTGTTGATACACGGAAATTCAAATTATGTTTTGTATGCAAATCGCAATATGTTAGTTTAATTTTACATTCGTCAAACGAAAATTGCAAAATGGTATTCTTATTTTTTCAGAACTTCTGACTACAATTGTTTGAGAAAACAATTTTCGGAGATGAGCATCATCCGTATGAAGAAGAGTGGGCATTGGATTCACATGGAGGAACCAGATGAATTGGCGGAATCCATCGTTGAATTTCTATCGAGGAATTCGTGATTTTGCTAGAATAAGAATTACTTATTTATAAATGAGCATCATCTTTTCATTATTTAATATTATATGCAAGCTTGATAAAATGATTATTTTGATCGATTCGTTAATTTTTGTGAACGAAATATTGAAATTTTATGAATTTCTGCAAGAACATAAAAAGACATTTGTTCTATATTTTTTTTTATTTTCAGAATGTGTTTACTCAGTTTTTGTAGTAAATGAAATTCATTATATATTTTTGTTTACTATATTATTCAACACTATATGCAAATACTTATTAACAAAAAAATACATGATAAATCATGTCTTAATTTTTTGTTAGTAATTGCTTCTGCAACAAATTTTACACCATTTTGTTCTGGTGATTATATAATTTACAATATATATATAACACATATGTAGCGTATGTTAAAAAATCAGTTTATTTCCATTCATATTAAATAATTAAATTCATACTAAGTTATTACATTTCAAAACAAAATTTTTACATACTTCGAAAACATCTTAAAATTAACACTAATTAACAAATTAAATATATTTTACAATAAAGTATTAAAATTTTGAACATAAACAAAGTCAAAGTGTGAGTCTATCGCTATGGGTGGATCTGGCCATTATGGGTTCCATAATGGGCTTAATAAAGAAGACCCTCGCAGTGCCCAAAGGGCGGAAAGAGTTAAAAAGAAAAAAAAACAGATAGTTGTTAAAAACAGCTTTATGCTATTTGAATATTAATAAAAATCGCAGATGCAATTGCAACTTATAGGGGAGACCGGGGCAAGATCGGCATGTTAAGCTTTACTTAAATTTTGTGTAATAAATACTGCTGTAAACTGAAAAAAAAGCTTTGCATATTGTCTATTGGAATGTTACCTTACTATAGAACTGGTTAAAATCAGTTTGGAAATAAAAATAATTAAAATAATTACAACTTTACAAGAAGAGAGAAATTG